TGCCTATATCCTGAATGGTATTACCTAGGTTTTCTTCTAGGGTTTTTATGGTATTAGGTCTAACATTTAAGTCTCTAATCCATCTTGAATTACTTTTCATATAAGGAGTAAGGAAAGGATACAGTTTCAGCTTTCTACTTATTTTTAACTTTATTAGCAACAATAGTAACAGAGGGAATGAACTTACTTCAACACAACCTATCATGTGTGAAAAGCCCAGTTAACAAAATAAATGAAAATGTTTCTCCTATGATCTGGTACAAAATGAGGATGTCCATTGTCACCACTTCTATTTAACATGCTACTGAAAGTCCTAGCCAGAGCAATTAGACAAAAAAGCATCAAAATTAGAAAAATATTAAAATCGTTTCTATTTGCAGATGACATGGCCTTAGGGTTTTATATATAAGATTACACCAAAAAACTATTTGAACTAATAAACAAATTCAGTAAAGTTGCAGAACATAAAATGGCACACAAAAATCAGTGACACTTCTGCAAACAATGAGTTATTTGGAAGGAAAATAAGAAAGCAATCCCATTTAAAATAGCAAAAAATAATATATTTAGGAATACTTATCCAATGGGACAGAAGACTTCTACACTAAGAATCATCATACATTAAGAGTCAAAGATATTGAAGGAGACAAATAACATGGAAAGGCACTGTATTCACTGATTTGAAAATTAACAAATCTTCAAATTTGTAGATTTGAAGAATTAACATTGTTAAAAATGTCCTTATTAAGCAAAACAATCTATAAATAGCAATTTCTATAAAATATCAGTGGTATTTCTTTACAGAAATAAATAACCAATAAGAAAATACATCTAGAACCATAAAAGATCTCAAATAGCCAAATCAATCTTGAATAAGAGCAAAACTAGAGGCATCACATTTATTTCAAAATATATCACACAAAGATATGGGAATTATCACAGTAAAGAACTGTCATAAAAGAAAAATGGACATATAGACCAATGAAACAATAGGGAGAACAGAAAGCAACCTGAGCATAATTGGCCAACTGATCAACAAAGTGAAAAGACAACCTACAGAATGGGAGAAGATATCTGCAAACCATGTATCTGCAAAGGGGGTAATATCCAAAACTTATAAGGAGCTCAAATGACTCAATAGCAAAAACCAATTACTTTGATTTAAAATAAGTAAACGACCTGGGTAGGCATTTCTCAAAAGACATAAAAATGGCCATCAGGTAAATAAAAAGAGCTCAACATCACTAAGCATCAGGCAAATGCAAACTAAAACCACAACGAGGTATCACCTCTCACCTGTTAGAATAGCCATCATTACAGATGAAACAAGAGAGGGAAAGTGGGGAAAAAGAAACCTTTGAACATCGTTGGTGAGAATGAAAATTGGCACAGCAATTATAAGCAAACAGTAGAGTGTTTCTTCAAAGAGTTAAAAATAGCACTATCCTATGATCTAGCAATCATGCTTCTAGGTCATGGTTCACCCAAAGAAGTGAAATCGGGATCTCAAAGAGGTAGCAGCACACCAGTGTTTATTGCAGTATTCACAATAGCAAAAATAGAAAAATAACTCTAAATGAATGAATGAAAATACACATACACATATTAGCACAATGAAATATTCTTTATTTCTTAGCCCCAAAGCTAGTCCTGCCATTTGGGACAACATGAATGAACCTGAACGATATTATGCTAAGTGAAAAATGCACAGAAAGACGAATACCATATATTCTCACTTATCTAAAATAGTAGACTAGCTCATAGAAACAGTAGCATGTTGGTGCCCAGTGATTAGGAGTTTAGGGAAATGAATAAGGATTGGTCAAAATGGTACAAAGTTCAGTCACGCAAAAATGAATAATTTCTAGAGGGCTAATGTACAGCATGGTGACTACAGTTAGCAATAGTCTTGTATACTTGACATCTGTTAAGAGGATAAATCTTGTATACTTGACATTTGTTGAGAGGATATCTTACGTGTTCTAACCACACCCTCCCCCCACCCCCCAAAAAAATAACTGAGGTGATGGAAATGTTAACGAGCTTGATGGTGATCATGATTTCATAACATATACATATATAAAAATCAATATGTACAGCTTTCATCTGTACAATTTCTATTCATCAACTGTACCTCAATCAGGTTGAAAATAAGCCAGATGAATCACATACCAAAAAAAATCTGCCATTGTGATTACGGATTTCCATTTTTTCATTTTTTTGTGTATCATGAAAATTTGGTATCAGTTCTATGCAAGATTAGACTTGCAATACTTTCCTGGTTGTTGGTTCCAGTCATCACTATCTCTACTAGTGCTTGTTGTCTCAAATGCTGCATTATTTCACATTAATTGCATTTTTTTAAAAAAATTTTTCATTCTTTGGTTAGTTATTGCCTGCTACATCTTTCATTCTGTTTTTCCCCCCTTGGGCCAAAGAATTTTATTGCCAGTTCAGGGGAAGAGCCCTTCCTTCCTGTCCCCTACCCAGGAGACACCCTCTGAAGGAGGGCAGAAGCCCCGGAGCCTGCCGCCTCAGAGGCCCTTGGAGGTGGAGAGGTTGTTGGAATGATCTCCCTGGCTCTTGAGCAGGCTGCGGTAGGTGGCGACCTCCTGCCCCCGCCGCGACCTCATGTCCACGAGCCGCTGGTTCTCCTGATTCTGCCGCTGTCAGCTCGCACAGTGGCCAACCGGCCCTTCAATACGTCTCCTCAGAGCCCGGATCTGCACCAGCTGGGCCCCAAAGCGCGCCGCAGTTTCCACCAGTGTGGCTTCCAAGGCAGCTTTCAAGCCGAGCTGCGACTGCAGCTCAATCTCAAGACCCTGGAGGGTGCCCCGCAGGTGAGTGACATTGGACCTGCTCATCTGGAGCTGCTTCGTGTGGCCAGCGACCTCCCCGTTCGGCTCCTCAGCCCTGCTGGTGAACCGGACGTCAGCTCCTTCCGGTTCCGCCATGACCTCACATTGGCTTCGCAGGTCACTCGGGATCTGGCCAGATCGGTGCCAGGAGCCGAATCCACCTCCACACTGACCTGGCCTCCCGCGTGGCCCCTCAGCCACCGACTTCCTCCTCGTGGTTGTTTTTCAGGGACGCCAGCTCCTCTTTCAGGCTATGAATCTGCATCTCCAGGCGGGTCCTGCCTAGGTCAGCTCCTCCCGCGCCTGCGCACTTTGATGGCGCCCTCCAAGCGCATGCGCAGAGCTTTCTGTCTCAGGCTTGGCCCGGAAGTGCTCTGCGGCCGCACGGGCGTTGTCAATCTGCAGGACAGTCCTGCGGTTCTCAGTGGTGGCCCCAAGAATATCTTTTCCCTCAAGTCCTCGATGGTCTTGTAGGAGCTGCTGGAGTCGCAGGAGGGCCCGGGCCCAGGCCCCTGCTTCTGGTACCAGTCGCGGATCTTCGCCTCCGGCTCGCCATGGTCCACACATTCAGGGCGCACACCTTGTCCAGGCAGGAGCCAAGCGGTGCTGAGGTTCTGCGTGAGCTTCTCATTCCCCGCCATCAGCCCGTCAGATCCAGCCAGGACGCCACTGTAGCCCCAGGAGGAGGATGAGGACACCAAGCAGGCGGAAGACACCTACACAGCTGCAGGAGCCCCACTGCATGCAGTTTTCTTCTAATACGCCATGTCTTATCAATTACCAAATTTATATTCCGTATATACCCTCCTTTAAGTGCTAAAAAGATGAAGTTTATTTGTTTTGCTCATGAATGCATCCTCAGTTTGTAGAACAGGGCCTGGCAAACTTTGGGGGCTCAGTAGGTATTTGTTGAATGACTGACTTGGGGCCTAAAGGAAGATAACAGAGTCATGGAAAGTTATCTTTGTATCCTTGTACTTACAGATGAAAAAGAGCATTCTGAAGAGAGGGAAAGCTATGTCAAAACACTGGATATGGAAAGAACCAGTGATTCCAGGATTGGAGTATGGCCCTCCCAGATGGAGAGACGCAGTGTGGAAAAGGCCACAGACTCCAGAAGCGGTAGCACATGCAGTGGTCAGGGGCAGGGACTCCAGCCTGCTTGCCTGGACTTACATCCCTGTTGAGCACTTTCTAAGCTGCATACCCTTGGTTCAAGTTTCTCAAACCCACAGAATCTCAGTTAAATCAACTGTAGAATAAAGCTAATATTAGGCTGTGAAAATAAAAGTGTTCCATACATGTCACACACTAAAAATGGTGCCGGATCATAAGCACACAAGGTGTTATCGTTGTTAAATAAGTTAATACGAATACAACCATGTGCATACATAAAACTGATTTGAAGTTATATTCTAAGTATATGTCACCATTGGCTTGAACAGGGTAGAAGTGTGAGAAACTTCCATATTTCTCTGGTTAAGAAAGTCTAAATGAACCAATTCTACTCCAAACAGATGTGTTCTGGATAGCCCATGTGTCTGGTCTAATTTGAGGTTGGACTTCTTATGCTCACAGAAAATAACTTGAGAACATTCTAGAAATTCTGATGGAAGAAAAATCTCAACTGTACATTTAGCATCTCTGAGGTCTTGAATGTGTTTAGCCCCAAATGCCTATGGATGAATGAACCTCCTTCCCCTGAGGATCTCCTTCTTGGGGCAAGTCAGGGGAAGCCTCAAAGGCTGTTTTGTCACTTGTGAAATGTGGATGACCTTAGCTTCAACCACAGAGGGTGAGGGTCTAATGAGGTGGTAAATGAAGTCTTTAGCACAGAGTGGATGCGGAGGAACAATCTGAATATGGGGTTATTTCATATTCAGTGAGCCCATGATATCAAAACAAATTTTCTCTCTGGTAGAAGGTGCTCAAGGGTCGTAAACACATTTATTTTCATATTTCTCAACTCCAATCTAAAAAAGGACTGTTGGCCCCGAAGGACTGGACTACAGATCAATGCTATGAGGGAAGAGGGGTGGGGGGAGATAAGTGAACATCTCAAGTGTGATTATAGGAGAGAAGAGTGGACAGAAACCCCCTGAATGGCAACTCAGGGAGTCAGACACCACCACAATATGCTGATTGTTTTATAGGAAGGACACCTAAAGTGAAGAGAGAGACCCTAAGAAGAGAGGACCAACTTAAGTTCTTTCACACTTTAATATGGAGCTTTCTGCATTCTTAGCATTTTTTTCAAAGCCCCTGTGACATCCTTATTCCTGAAACTGTAAATGATAGGGTTCAACACAGGTGTAAGGATAGTGTAGAAAAAGGACACCATCATATCTTTCTCCGGGGTGTGGTGGGAGCTGGGGAGCATGTAGTTGTAAATAGCAGCTCCATAGAAGAGGCTGACCACTGTCATGTGGGAGGAGCAGGTGGTGAAGGCCTTCTTCCGACCCTCAGCTGAGTTCATCTTATGGATGGTGAGGATGATAAAGTAGTAAGACACTGTAATGACTGTCACAGGGATCAAGAGCATGATGACACAGCACAAGTACATGAAAATCTTGTAAAGTGAGGTGTCTGAGCAAGAGAGCTTCAAAACAGCAGGGACTTCACAGAAGAAGTGGTGAATCTCATGGGATCTGCAGAAGGGGAAGGTCATGGTGATGGGAGTGAACATGAAGCCATCCACTGAGCCCACGAACCAGCAACCTGATGCCAGGAGGAGACATACCCTCTGGCTCATGAGCACAGAGTAACGGAGAGGATGACAGATGGCCACGTAGCGGTCATAGGCCATGGCAGCTAGAAGGCAGTACTCTGCACCTCCCAACTGCAGGTAGAAGTACATCTGAGTCCCACACCCAAGGACCGAGATGGTCTTCTCTTTGGCCAGCTGGTTCACCAGCATTTTGGGGACAGTGACAGAAATATATGTCAAGTCTATGAGGGAGAGCTGGTTTATAAAGAAGTACATGGGAGTATGCAGAGAGGAGTCAATGTGGATCAGAAGTATCAATGTAATATTCCAAGTCACAGCCATCAAAAATATACTGAAGATAAGCAAGCAGAGGAGGCCAGGGTGTGAGATCCGGCTAAAGATTCCCAACAGGAAAAAGTCACCACCCAGGGTCTGGTTGGCCAGCCACATGTGGTATGATCGCTTGAAGTGGCTTTACCTGGAGGACAAAAGTAAACTTTATGTTATTTATAATCCTGTGTGCGCCACAAACTATGTTTGCTTCACTTCAACTTTTAAAATTCCATGTAAAAATCAGAGTTTATTTCTGACATCAGCTGTGAATTTGCACTAAAAAGAGACAGCACGTTAGATTGTGAATCTGATTCCCATCTAGAATGGGAATGAAATATTTATATTCTCAGTGAAGAGGTCCATACAGCTGACATTAAAATATTTCCTACAGGAAATTATATAGTCACTAATATTTGTTATTTTTACTTTCTGTATGTTCACATTGGTTATTTTTTTTGTGTTAGTATCTTACAGTTGCATGTGCCTGTATTGCCCGAATTCCATTCCCATGGGATTTTAGAGCTAATAATCAATATAAATATTTCTAATTTGACCCTCAAGAGTCATTTCTGCAAAAAAGGATTAGTAATACTTGTTTCTTATTAAATATCTTGTTATAAATCTATGAACATACAATTTTTCAATATTTAAAAGCAATATATTAAGCAACCAGTAATTGTAGACATTTTAAACATAAAATTCCAAACCTTTATATAAACAGGTACAAATTTAGTCAAATTTCTTTAAATGTATTAAAGACACTAGTACAACTTGTCAATTTTTCTAAATGATTTAAATGCTTTTACACACAAGTGATTTATAAAATACTTTTTACTTCCACTTATCCTCTTACAAAGACATTAATCTTGTGATTTATTTATTCATATTTTCATGATTTCCATCAAGATGTTCTGATCCATTGTGGTTCTGCCAATCTTTTAAGATATCAAAAAAATTATGGCTATATCCTCAGGGGTCCCTGAAGTTGCAATATTTTAAAGACTACTGAAGCATACTAGTGAGAGGGAGGAAAACATAGAACAAGGAATTCTACCTGTAACTGGCTGTGAACAATCAAGATAACTCACTATCTTCAAATCATCCAAATTCCAGTTTCTTCTCAGAGCATCTAGTCAGTTAATCACCTTGTAATAGACTGTAGAATTCTTCTACCTGGTTATTTTTGGGGATCAGTGGTGCTGGTCAGCCCTTTTCCATTGATAGCACTCTTTCTCTTGTTCAGAATTCTGTGATTTACATGTGGATGCTATTATTATTCGCTAAAGAAAATGCCTATCTGTCCTTTATAAAATGAAGTTTTAGATACTAATGTTCAATATATTAACGTGTCAAATGTTTATTTAAATCAAACACATTCATCCTTTTTATATTGCAACTTCTCTTATGTAACCTTTACATTGCAACTTACACTTTATATTATTCTTTATCATTAAAATTTATGAATAAGAATTATTGCAATTGGTACCGTTATTTCCTTTTTTATTTCAAATATCTTGCCCTGGCCAAGGCTAATCTCGTGGGTTTTCATTTTGTTTTGGAGATACTTAGTACAGAGGACACAGAAAGCATAAGAGTAAAGTAATGCCTGTTTTTAACAAATTGCTTATATTAAGAGATTTAAAACCAAAGTGACTGAAGGTATTTTCAGTAAATAAACATTGTATCATTGGCCATAACAAATGGTATATTTTAGTCAATCAATTATTAGACTAATAAACTATTTTTTCCTGGAGCAGAAAGTAATTTTCTAAGTATAAAGGCAAAATAAAGAATTCCCAATAAACTTGAAAAATTGAATGATAATCATCCATCTGTATCACATCATATCTCAAAGAAAAATCGGGAAGTAGATGGAAAAGGTATAGGGAAAAGACTCAATGGAATTTCCACAACATAGGAGGTAAGTATTTTCACTTGTTGCCCGGCTTCTCAGTGAAATAAGTATATTTAATGTCCACTCCCAAAAATGGAGTTCTTATAGGGACAGTGTCCATGATAAGATTGGTGCCTGTCAGAGCTAATTAACTCTAGGTCTACGTAAGGAGGCCCTTTCCCAAATTGAACAGGTGGTTTACAATGAGTAGAGTTATGCAAATCAGTAGTGAGATGGACATGAGCTAGTCAGGGTGAGCATGTCTCAGGTTTATTCGGGAGAACAAGTGAGAGTGGATATTGCATTTCTTGGCCATATAGTTCAATCTACTGTTCTTCCACAGACACTGAAACACGGGGAACTCAGTCCATAAAGCTGCAGAGCAAAAACTCTCCTTAACCAAATCAATTAATTTGTCCACTTGTAGGAAACAAATGACACCAGCACAGACAGCCATGCAAGGCAAAGAACAGCAATTAGGTTCCTTCAAAGCAATAAAATATTTTAAAGAAGAATTGCTCTTGCCAAAAGTAAACCTTCATAAACAAAGCAGACCACTTGTGACAGGCTTCCCAGTAGTAACATCTGCACTGTAGGAAGGAGAGCACCCCTCCTTCTTGAGTGGGCATTCATACTCCAAAGTGATAGTCATGCTTCACCCAGGAAGGAGAATTATGTTGCTCACCATGAAGCTTAAACCTCTATCAGACATCTCTCACTCATCCATGTGTTCCTCTTTCAGGGTCTTCGAGATCATTTTTTTTTTTTTTAATAAAGGGGAAAAGGGAAAAAGGGAAAAAAGGAAGAAAGGAAGAGGAAAACTAATATTCAACATTGCTCCAATTTTCAGAGAAAAAAATGTTAATTTAAGTCAGATTTGCCTGGAAAAATATATCACCAGGAGGAAAAGCCTCAAGATCTGAAATCAGTTATGTTTCAGTTTCGTTCTTTTCTGAGGTACATTGCGAGTCACCTAAAACTTTTGAATATCTTTTTTCCATTTATACCTGTAGAGATACTCACTACTTATTTCTACAGCCTAATAGGATTGCAGAGAGTTTCAGAGATAATATGCACAGCAAGTACTTTCTAAGTTCTAGCTTTGTGTGTAGTATTAAGTTAAATATGCTTTAATAAATACAAGTTATTTTATGTGATCTGTAACAATATAACACAATATATTTTACCAATTATATTTGCTGTAATATGTTATGTTGCTGATTAATATCAACTGATAATTCTATAATGCGATATATTTATGGGATTAAAAGTTAAATATTAACCTTTTATTAATAAATTATTTCTCTTACTTGGAGCAAAGGGAAGAAATGTGATACTCTGAGGAATTCTGTTCCAAGAAGGCACCTCCAAGTACAGGTCGTCGTGAAGTTACAGCCTTGTCATTTTCACTGTGATCTGTCCGCCTGTCATTGTCACTTGACTGTCCGCCTGTCATTGTCACTGTGATCTGTCCGCCTTGTCATTGTCACCTGCTGGCTGTATCCGCCTGTCCCCTTGTCATGTCACTGTGTGGTCCCGCTCCCTGTCAGTGTCACTGGATCTGTCCGCCTTGTCATTCACTGTGATTCTGTCCGCCTTGTCATTTTCACTGTGATCTGTCCACCTTTGTCCGTGAAACCACCAGCCTGCTTTCTGCGAAGGAAACCACTTACATGAACTCGATCTATCTCCCTGAAGAGCAGCTGATGCTGCCGAGTCTCACACGTGCAGTCCTGGGTCGACAAACCTCGAAGAACGACGCTCTCCTCAGGGACCCTCCAGGGCTGTGGTGGCCCCTCCATGGGCGGCCCAGCCCTGGAGGAGACTCCTCGCCTTTAAGTTGTCGGGCCTGGATCTCTAGACTTTTCTAATTGCCTAACCCTGTAAACTCCAAAGGAAAATAAGCATCTACCTAATGCACACAGACTTCACCAGAATGTTTCCTTGAAGACTATTCCTCTTCACATGCTCAAATCATTGCATCATGTTTGCCAGAGGTGAAAAGAGTGACACAAACCCGAATTAGACAACACATTTAATAGAGTATATTATTCCATGTTTATTGGTTTTCATAGTAATTAATTGTAGAAAATTTAAAAACTAAGTATATAAAAAAGGGAGAAATAATATATACTCTAGAAAGCCAAAGATAACTAGTTTGAATTTTCCTTGCTTTTAGGCATTTTCATTGATTTTCTTTATAGAATTTTGTATCCATTTGTCTTTGAAAATAGTGGACATTTTTAAACCAAAGTAAAGGTGTATTTGAAGTGTCCATAAAATGTTAAAACTATTAAGAGATATGTGTTATTCTAAATCTTTTCTTATTTAACCCAAAACAATTGAACATAAGAAACTTTTAAATTATGAAAATGATATTTTGTAATTGAAATGCTTTGTTAAATGTATAAACACCTTTTATAACTGAAATTCTCTCATGAAAAGGGTTATTCTGAGAATTTGAAAAGCATAGAATTATGTAGATAATACAAAATAAACATTTTTTTATACTTAAACCTTTAGAAGGCACAAATTAGGAAATAATATGTAAACATTTCCTCCAAGGATGTGTTTGGAGACAACCGATATATCCAAAACTGTTGGTTTTGGCATTTCAAAGCAGATATAGAATGGTCTTACATACACCGTAGCATATGACTTTGAAATAATTCATGTAGAACATTGGCTGAGTAAAAAAAATTAATATATGACCTCCCTGTGTCTTAGATCTTCAGAGTGTTTCAGAATTTTGTAACCTGAGTGATATTTCAATAAACAGTCTCTGTTCAATGTGTTTATTTTTGTGGAGTTACAAAATTTGAAATATCCAGGTGTGAGGGTCAGAGAATCATACTCTTAGAAACTCCACTAAAAACGACTTTCCAAATGTAACCACTATTAAAAGTTTATAATGTTTATGGTCCCAAAACACACATTCCGTTATAAAAAATTTACAGATACAAATTCAACGGAAGGAATAATCTACAGAAATTTAATGTGCCATTGAGTGTTGTAGTGTTTTATAACTGAAAAGTTTATCAAGCATACTTTAACCGTGTCAGTGTTAACATAAATCCACCTCCAAAACTATGTGTATGTCCAATGCGGATCATTCCGAAGCACACGGAATGTGTTCAGTGAATTGATCCAATCCAGGAGTTATGCAGAGTAGGTGCTAATCAAACCCTACCCCGAGTGAGGAAATGCAGACACGGAGACGCAAAGGGCATCGGGGAATTCCCCCAAGT